GAAGATGATGTTTTCCAACAATGAAATAAAACCCAAATATCGGCATGTGTTGTCCAAAGTTCTAAAAGTTTATCATTTCAAACCCTTTACATGAATGCGTGGTTTAAAAACCTGGACACATTCTGAAGTTTGGCTTTTAAATGACTGATTACAGAATTATACAGTAATCGTTCATGGGTTTCCACTGTGAATTAACAGACAATAAATGATTCTATCAACACACCTTTCCATGCAATGCTCAAAATTTACATTTGTCATTTAATATTGGTTCCAATGTAAAATGAGAAATAAACATATTTTTCCAATGATTTTCTTAATGGAAGTCACCCTTGCTTTGCCTTCATGTGTTCTCTCAGAGAGCAACTGTAACACCCCATTTTCAGTCTCTTTTATCAGCTAGTAGAAGATGCGAAAGTCCAGACTTGGCGATACGAGTCATCATCATTTTTTTTAGAAATAAATTTATTTTCCACTAAGCATATTAGTTATGAATTGTTTTTCTGCACATTCTCATAATACTGAATAATACTGATATATGAGTCAAGTGAAAAACTGTGTTGTAGAAGGAGGTCCTCTGAGAATTTACAAGTTGACGATCTTGCATCAGATGCTGCACAGTAGTATGTTTGAAGGAGACTTTTAACCAAATCAGTCTGCTTGTAGGAGGAGAGTCTGGCCACACTTTTTCAAAATAGTGGAAGAGTATCAATAAATCCTTGAATAATTCTGTAGTTTGTTTCCTAATCACTTACGGCAAATCCATTTGCATCAAATCTAGTAGCCCCGTGGGGTTCCGGGTTAGAATAGGTCCTCAGTACCCCCTTGCTTGTCGTAAAAGGCGACTAAATGGGGCGGTCATTCGGATGAGACTGTATAAACCGAGGCCCCGTGTCACAGCAGGTGTGGCACCATAAAGATCCATCCCTGCTCAAAGGCCCTTAGTGCCGAGCATAGGCCTAAATATGCAGCCCTTCACCGGCAATGGTGAAGTCTCCATATCAGTGAAATATTCTGGAGCGGGACGTAAAACAGTACACAATCAATCAATCAAATCTAGTATTATGAGCCATCAACATTACTGGCTTGTGAATTGAAGGCAACCAGTGTAAAACAAAATCCCAAGTCCTTCACATGTGGGTTGCTGCTTGAATTGGTTGACCTTTAGACATCTGTATACATATTTACGAAAGTTCTTAGACGTAGACGTAGACGTAAATTCAGACGTCGCGTGGATTTACGTCTAAAACCGTATTTACAAAAAATCGTAGACGTTAAATTACGTCATAATTAAATGTAAATCTACGTCTACTGTACCCCTACACTTATCTTTATTTACGACTGAGAAAATGGCAGCCTTCTTACTGGCAATAGCGAGAGATCGGAGTTTACGACGACAGCGATTTTTTCCGGGACCGCACAAACCCCGTAGATTATTTCAGCGACATCGAGCTGATCCAAAGGTATCGCTTTCCAAGAGCCACCATCCCCAAGTTTTCTGACATGGTTCAAACCCGGTTGGAGAGACCAACGAACAGGTCGAATCCTTTGCCTGTACCTTCCATGGTAAGAACGCTATTATGTAAATATTGAACCCGATCTAATCTTAATTGAGTTGTCGTTCTCGCCAGTTTAACTGAAGCGGGAGACAACTCTTGGTAGATAATGGGAAAATATGGGCTGATCTAATGAACATATCAATCATCTGACAGGCACATACAATAATGCCTATACATAAATTTAGCACTGGCCTATTAATTGAAAAACACATGTTTTTATTTCAAAGACTGTGAACTGTAAATAACATGTATTATCTGTAACCAATAAATGTATTTAGAACAGCCTTCAAAACTTACCAAATGCAATGCTCACTGAATACTCTTATTTTAACATCTTCATGTTTGGATCAAGACGAATAGACGATCCAAAAAAAAAAAAAAAAAAAAATTTTATCAGGAACCTATATACTAGTAGTATATAGGTCCCTGCTTTTATAAAATAAAAATTAACTGTACTTTTTGAAAACATATCTGTAATATGAAATAACATAAGGAAAAGCCAATGTGATTCCAAAAAGTACAAGCCTTAAATTTCATTTTTATAGTTTCATTTTGACAATGTTATGTCAGAAATTTCTAAATATTTTTTAACAAGTTCAAAACCTTGTTTTATTTTTTTCTTGGGGGGGCAGAGTCGGGGAATTCAAATAATTTTCCAATAAATATCTATCTGGTATAAATCAACAACTTACCCTCCTAAAATATGATTGGTCATCAATCGGAATAGGCTTTACATGATATAAGAACATGTAAATCTGTAGGCTGGAATGTGCAAGTCTTTTTTTTTTATTCTAAGATTCCCCCCCCCATCTTTTCCTTGTCTGAAGATCTGTAACTCTCCGAAAAAAAAAAGAAATTGACAGATCAGAAATTTAAGTAAGGATTAGGAAGAATTATTCCAAAATTTAGAGCAACTTTCGTGCGCAATATATAGACAATTTTTACAATAGATGGCACTTTAGCTCTCCAGTCTGTCAAGTTATTTTTTTTCGGAGAGCTACAGTTCTGCAGCTTTTTTTTCATTTGTAAAACTTTGATTCATCATTATGGTTATAGCCCAACCCCAGGGGTCATCATTTGAACAAATTTAAATGTACACAGTGTGTGAGTTTCAACTTTTTGGCTCATTGGTTATTGAGAAGTTTTTCTTTATGTGCCACCAAATTGCCAGTATTTCTTAATCATCTCCCCTTGAATAAAGACAAACAGATGACAAACAGATAACTACTGACAGAATATGATCAGAAAAGCTTACTAATACTTTCAGCTCCAGTGAACTTAAAAAAAATTTATACATGTATATTTTTAAGATATTTAATATATTGCAAAGAAAACAATAAATTTCTAACAGGATAAAACAATTAAATTACATGTAAAAAAAATTCACAGGTATTGTCAACTCTGAGAGTCCTGGCAAAAGGCGACTTTCAGTCTGAGGCAGCAGATATCCATGGCATTTCACAGCCGTCCTTCAGCAGGACCTTCATGGATGTCATAGATGCCCTTAACTACAGTTTGAGGAACATCAACTTCCCGTCTGGACAAGCTGACATTCTCCAGATCAAGGAAGACTTTTTGAAAGTGTCTAACTTCCCGAATGTTGTTGGGGCCATTGATGGCACGCTAATTCCCATCATTGGAATGTCTGGGGACGACGAGCACGTATTTGTGTCTCGGAAAGGATTTCATGCCATTAACATGCAGGGCATTGTTACGGCTGACCTGAAGTAAGTAAAAATCATATAATTTTAGAACATTTGTAATATTTTAGAACATAAAAGTTTGTCACTATTTTATAGAATCCAAAATATTTTAGGAAAATAAAGAACTGGTGTTAAATACCAGTACCAGGCTATTATAAATGTCCTAAATAAATGTGCAGAAAACATAGTGTCTGTATTTTCTATAACATTTAAAGTCAGAAAAAAAATGAGGACAAGAATAATACAATGTATATATTTCAATCTAAATGTATTTCAGATTCACAAATATTGTTTGCAAATATGGAGGGGCAACACATGATGCCTTCATACTTGCAAACAGCAGCATACCCGAGATGATGGAGCAGCTACCAGGTGGATCTTGGCTACAGTGGTTCTTGAGAAGCGGATTTTCTCCACCCTGTTCTGATGACTCCTATTCTGGCTCCTCAGACGAGACAGGAGGAGAAGTTTAATGAGAGCCACATCAGGACTAGGAATTGTGTGGAGAGGGCCTTTGGGGTCCTTAAGTCTAGATTTCGGCAAGTAAATAATAATTGATTTAGTTTTTAATATTGACAATCTCACATAAAAGCTCACTTGAGCTTTCAGCGAAAGCTCAGGTGAGCTAAAAATATAGAACTAAAGTTAAATATAATTATAAATCTTCTAAAAAAATGTGCAGAAAACATAGCTACATGTAGCATCTGTATTTTTTATCACGAGGCGGAGACAAAAAATGAGACTAAAGAATAATACACTATTCAATTGCAACTTGATTGTAAATCAATATAAATGTATTTCAGATTCACAAATATTGTCTGCAAATATGGAGGGGCAACACATGATGCCTTCATATTTCTGTCTCTGAAGTATCAGCTACCAGGTGGAGGTTGGCTCCTGGGTGACAGTGGATATCCTCTCAGACCCTGGCTAATGACACCCATTCTGGCTCCTCAGGCAAGACAGGAGGAGAAGTTTAACAAAAGCCACATCAAGACTAGGAATTGTGTGGAGAGGGCCTTTGGGGTCCTTAAGTCTAGATTTCGGCAAGTCATAATTTGAACAATCTTAAAAGAAACAAGACCCATGGGATGCGCACATGATGATGAGTTTCAGCTTTCCTGGCCCAGTGGTTCTTGATACAACTAAGATTTTTTTAAAATTAGAAATAAAAGACTTTTTTAAAAAAAAAATTGACTTAAATTAAAGGTCAAAATGACCTTGAACAAGGCCGTGACATCACCTTCTACCCAAGGATACTTTTGCCAAGTTTCAAAGCTTTAGCCCAGTGGTTCTTGAGAAGAAGATTTTTCCAATTTGGCTATAGCATTTTATTAAAGGACAGACAACCTACTTTTTGTGTGAGACACACAAATTTTACCCAAGATAATCGGCTTGACCAAGTTCGGTTAAAATCAGATAGTATTAAAGTAATGAGCAAGCAAGAAAATAATCAGACACACAAAACTCAATATTATATACATGTATATTACAAAAAAAAAAAACACACAAAGCAAACAATTGGAAAAAAGAAATTCTAGCAGTAGAAAAAAGAGTAAAATACTTTTCTGCATGAATTTAGTAAATTGTAACAATATTTCATTACAAATCCTCACCACTGCTTTTTATTATACATACATTATGAAATGAATGTACCTTGTTTCAGATGTCTGCACAAAACAGGAGGAGCTTTGGCATACACCCCTGCAAAGTGTGTCAGGATTATTGAATGCTGCTGTCGTCTTCACAACCGAGCCATTGAAGAGAAGCTTCCTACACCAGTGGCAGGACAAGTCGCCATCTATTCCAACAACCACACTGTAAATACACAAAATATTGCCAGTGCTGTAAATATTAGGAACATCATTGTTAGAAGGTTTTAATAAATATGCCTATAATTGGTGCTATAACATTTCAAACAGAAATATGATTAAAAAGTAGTTATACTTGGTAGTGGTTAATTGAAGGAGGTGGCAGCATCATACCTGGGTTGGCTATATGTCCAGCTTAATTAACTCAGCAAAGGGAAGTAACTTTTGTGAATGTAAACATCCATTATATTCTGGTTATACTGTAAAAAAGAATTACATTAAATAATTATTTTCCTGTAGTTTGAAGAATGAAATCAAACTATAACCTAGAAACACTTGAAAAATTCAGCAGACTGTTAAAAGTTTTCATTATGAAATTTTACAGCAAGACAAAAATTTTACTTTACATGTTGGATATAAATGTAATGTGTAATACTTACTTTGATGTGCATCAGAAAATTATTCATCATACATTCTATAAGCAGGGAAGTATGTTTATTGAGTAAACATACAAAGTATATCCTTTCCATTTCCAAAATCAAAATAATTTTTTGTAAATAAGTCAATTAAACTACACTGAAGTTGATTCTAAACTAAAAACTATTTTGAAAGATTTTTTTTAAAAATTCGACTAAATATGTATATTTCAAAAAATAATATAGAATGTCTATATTAATGATGTTAAAGAATGGTGATTTCTAGCATATGAATGAAAAGGGTAATTTTTGCTCTATGAGCTTTTTTTCCCTAATCATCACCATTATGGCATATGAAATTTTCTAAAGTTAGATTTCCAATGAAGGTTTAAATATTGTGTGAAATTCATGTAAAAATTATGATCATAACAAGAAAAAAATGTTTTTGCAAGCATGTATTGTTTTTCCAGATAATTGTTTTTCCCCCCATTGCCTGAGTTATATTTTCAAACATAATATAAATATATCAAGTTCATAAATTTTAATTTCAATTAATATAAACACCACCAATTTTTGTTATGCATATTTGCTAAAAAATGTTTTCGTCATGTAGAGATGTTTTTGTTCTACAAATTCACAAATGAAACCAATGATTAGCTGTCATTTACAATTGATGTTACATTATAATTTAAATTTCAAATTTGTTTTTATCAGAATCAGATATTACAATGTTCTGTAACAATAATGAAATCATTTGTTATTCTTAAATACAGAGAATATGAACATGGCTATTTTAGTTTGTTTTCTTTTTTAAGATTTACAATAGATCAAATTTTCAATTTCTGCAAGAAAACTATAAATAGACAACAATAACTTAATAAATAAGTTAAAGAAATATTAAATCAAAGAATTTGTGTCCCCTGCTTAAAGTAGAAATGAATGTGAAAAATTAACAAAAATGCAGATGGAGAAATTAAATGCCAATAAAGGTGGACCTTGACCTTTCAACTTTTGGATTTTATAAGAAGCCTGCATCTTGAAAAGAAAAGTTTCTAGCACACCCTCAGATTATAGACAATCCTGGTATCATGCATGAGTTTTGAATAATTCTCTACTACAACAAGATTTTAATTTTTCAGACAATGACCTTGAATGTGCAGAAATGGCCTTGGTCAAATCACATCAAACTATCATGTGAACATAAAAGAATATTTTTACCAAAGATGAATTTCAAAAGATTCTCCATTACAAAGCTATAGCTTGAAATGATTACATGGAAAGGTGGACAAGGAGACTCCAATATATAATACTTGTATATTCCAACAAGAGATGTGTATTAAACACTTATGCATCCCCCTCCCAATTACCCTATAATCCCTATTAACCGTCCCAGGGGCTTAGAAAATTGCAAAAGGGGGGCGGTTATTTTAGTACGACTCTTTATAATACCCTAGAACCTTATTTTAAGTTTTGGTAAGAAAGTGGAGGCTTATTTTCAAAACCGTCTTATTTTCAAATCATGGCTTATTATCAAGATAAAAAAACTGGTAAGCAACGAGAACATTATCACAACTTTTATCAATAAAATAAATGGTATTCGACAGACTGAGAACCACTTGCACTTTCTAAAAATAGAATATCCAGGTATGTTTGTTGGGGTACATGTATATAATTAGAACTCAGATAGAAGACGACCAAGAGAAGTGGAATTGGCTTTTTCCTGCATTAAAGAATAGATGTTTCTTAAGATCTGAAGCCTTTCTTGATCTATCTGCAGTCTCTGCTTCTTAATTTCCAGTTTTTCTCCCTCGATTTGGACAAGTCGCTGAGTGTCTGTCAAATAATCACAAAACTGACCTCTTTACCTTTTTTAAAAGGGAAATTTATTTCATCTTTTGGTCTTACTTTTCAAACATAAAATAATTTTACAATTCAACTCGATTTAAGAATTTAGGAAAAGAGGTATAGACTTGTAGATTAACTGTTCTAAAGTAATGATTATTTTTTTTAAAGTCCCTTCATAATTTTTAAATAAACATTGAAATACTTTAATTTCTTCCTCTAGAATTTTTTTTTCAAAATCTTGCATATTGCTTTGGGAAAGAAGAGGGGTATGCGGGACTAATTAAGTCTTAGTACAAGTATTAACATGTTGTGTAGCTACTATATTTGTATTCTATTGCATTTATTCAGTTTAGCATACATTACCACTAAGAACATTGCCAGAATTTCTGGATGATAGTGTTCCTGATTTTTTTAAAAAAAATTGAAATAAAAAAAGATTACTTCTTGTTAAAACTGAAGACTATAGAAAAATATTTTCATCACTTCATCATAGACAATATTTTAAATTCCCATACCCCTAGAATGTCCTGGTGATGGTGCTGTTTCCTCTGTAAAGTCAAAAGAATGCTTGCAGACGATTACTGGTATAAAATGTAAAACACTCATCCCCCCCCCAAGAAAAAAGATTGGAAATTTTTAAAGTTGAAGGTTCATAACTCTCTAAAAGTTGGATAGATCCTAATCAAAACATAAATTGATCTAGATATTCAGATGAACATTCTGTATACTAAATTTTATTTCTATATGTGCAAACTCTCCAAAGAAAATGAGTGGAAACTGAAAATAATTGGAATTTTTTCAAAGTGCAAGGGGCATAACTTTGTCCAAAAAATAAATGGACCTAGAGATTCTAATGACAAATTTGTACAACATAGACAATCCATTTAATTCCCATACCTCTAGAATGTTTAGGTGATGGTACTGTTGGCAAACAGTAGGATTCCTCTGTAAAGTCAAAAGAATGTTTACGGAAAATTACTGGTATAAAATAGCAAATGAATTAGAATTTCTTTAGGAAAAGGACCTGTATGTTTTAGTGATTACTTTTCCTTCAATATTACATGCTGGATACAAAATTGCTTTACCAAAATTGAACCCACACTCTATTGGGATTCTGTGAATATTAATGTCTTACATTTCTGTCCTGTTATAAAAAAAAATTATATTTGTTTCTGAACTTACCTTGACTTAAAACAGATGCAGTTCCGGCTGATACTTGAGAGTCTTTACAAATAATTGATAACAAGGAATATCAATATATATACATGTATATACGTGTGCATACATGAAAAGCATGAATTAAGAATTTTTTATTCTGTTTAGTTTAATCTTAAATCAGATTCTAATATGCAAGTACTAGCCTAAGGAGATCACTTGACCTTTAGCTAATTTTTGGCGCACTGTAAAGTGAAACTATCTTGCGTACGTCAGTCGTACATTTAAGAATTCGTAACTTACGTCAACGTCTACGAGCGGCTTTGTAAATACCAAAATACGAATTAGTATCTTCAATCTTACGTCAGTCGTAACTACTACGTTTACGTCTAAGAACTTTAGTAAATATGCGAACAGGTTCTAAGCAACAGTAAGAGCAATAGCACTCATCGAAATTCGTTTGGAAGGTAGAGGATACTCACTGAAACTTCATTCGTCTGTGTATGTTACCCAAATAAGAGTAATTTCACAATCTTGATCTGTGAAGTACAATGAAATAAAAAATATTTTGCACATCAAACTATTAATATGCCATGCATATATTTAAATTTGCTGAGAAAAATAATTCAGAAATCAAATTAAGATTATATTATTTCTAAAAGCTTCCCGCGAAATATTTTTATTACAAAACGTACGAAGTCCAGTAGTTTCCATATCAAATGCAGCATAAGCATAATCCATTCCAGGTTTTATCACTGTGCAGGTTGGTTCAGTTATAGGTGGTGTTATTTAACAGACATCAGACTGCATATGTTGTTATTCATGGCCACACCAGTTTTATAAGATACTTCTTTTCCACTTCGCATGTTTTCTGATGTTTACTTTGTTGCTCCTTTATTTTTCTCCTTCTCCTTCTGAACTCAACTGCGCTTTTTCTTTCTCTTGCCTTCTCTCTCTGTTGGTCATAATCCCTTGAATTTTTTTTGGTAATTTCTCCAGAAGATAAAATCACAGATTGACACACCTGCAATTATTATATACATATTCAATGGAATTTTCAAGAAACCAGAAGTCTCTGTCGAGACTAAAGTTCTACTAGTTTGAACTTGTAGCAAAGGAGGAGAAAGTACTTAAGTAGCTAGGATTTGAAACTATATAAACAGCATTAAATAGAATAATGATAGTTGATAAAGTCTCTTTATATTCTTAGTGTAGTCTACTTGAGCGTTTTTATCTGGGACCCGAGTTCCGTCTCGAGTCGAGATTCTCCAGGTAAAAACGCGAGAGTTCCGACTGGGGTTGATATCGAGGTCGACCCTGCTCTGGCGCAGGATTTGTAAGGATTAAAAATGGCGGACGGCGGCAGCAGTCAAAATCTGTAAGTTTTAAAATTATTGAAATGTAATAATGAGGTTATTAAAATGGCTGAATTTGTGAATTGAACATGATATTACTTAATAATACATTGATACAGTTATAACTATTCCGAAAATATATAATTATACTTAAAAGATGAAAGAATTTCATTTACTTCATAACTTCAAAATTAATTCAAGTCAACTTTCGAGACAATATTTACCAGGTTAGCCCCCCCTCCATCCCCAATACACACATACTTTTATTGTCAAATTAACAACGCACATACTTTCAATTTGCTTCCGACACCACTGGAATAAATTATTGTAGTATATAAAAATAAAGATAGGGTAAAAAAAATATAGATATCCCTTCCCATACATTTAACAGTATATTGATAAAAATTCAGAGACCTGTGCTTTTACTAATAAGTGTAATACAGGAAATAATTGAAGATTTGACCAGAAAGTAAATTTAATAATATGAAGCCTCAATTTCATTTATTATTCATATTTGATATGAACGTTTCCATTTTTATAATCATAATTAACAATCGCATAACTTTTAGTGTCCTTGTAACTGCAAACATTGATGGTACCACTTACACTGCCTTAATGAGTGAGGAGCTAGCAGAACTGTACAGGTACAGGTGTGGTAAGAAAAATTATTTTCCTAAGTTACTACATTTGTATTTTGAATTAAATTTGAATATTTTAAAATGTGAAAAATATATGTTCTTCTATTTCTTCATTATATAATCCCAATTTTTAGATCCAAAGACTAGAAATGTTTTAGCAGATGCCATAAGAGCTCAGAATACTGGGAGTGAAACACCATGTACCAGTAATGAAATGCCATGTACCAGTTATGAAAGGCCATGTAATGAAAGTCCTGTTGAAAACGAATCACCATGCAGCTCTTCAAGGTCAAGTTTTTCCACACCAGAGTCTACCAGTGCCTCATCATCAACAAATTCAACATCAGATCAGGTAGACAACTATTTCTGGCCAAATTTAGAACAACATCACAGGGAGAAATTTTACCCTGAAAAAAATTTAGAAATATTTTATTTTGACTCAGTACCCGAAAGCACAAAATGTTTTTCTGAACTTTATTCTCCTTGGGAGAAAGAAAAAAAATATGTCAAGAGAAAGTATACAAGTGTCAAATGATATGTGTGTCTCTTTGGAGGAATTTCACAATCTTATTGTTGAAAAACTTGACAAGCTACATTTAGATTAATGTATATTTCAGTCTATTCATATTTGGACGAATGCAGAAGAAAAACGACTAATAGACTGCCGGTTATCAAAAGAGGAAGATTTTTGCAGTAACAAGTCGCACGACTCCTTGTGGCAAGCTATTACAAAGGAGTTGAATGGTGAGGGGATGAAATTGACAAAACAGCAGATAATTAACAAGTGGAAAAGTTTAAAGAAAAAATATAAAGAAATAAATGACCACAACTCAAAAACAGGAGCAGATCGTATGGACTGGAAATATAAAGAAGCATTTGATGGGGCATATTGGAATAAGGCATCTACAAAACTAAGTGCATCTTTTGACACAGGTCGACTAAAGGAGTCAACAAAAAGTGATGAGAGTTTGAAAAGAAAACTTGAAAAGGGAGATAAGAAAGAAACAGTGGAGACAAAAGCTGAATTGCCAAAAAAGAAGAAGATCAGATCTAATTTGAAAAGCGATTAAATTGAAAAGTTGGACGCTCAGAACTTAAAACTGATGGATCAAATGGAAACACAGCACAGAGACAAACTTAGAGAATGGACCGAATGCTCGATTTGTTTGAAAGATCATTGGACAAAAAGTAACAATTTACAGATCTCACATGTCATATGATTGTCAGACTTTACTCTTATTTTTTTTATCAAAATATAGGTAAATACTGATACATTACTTCAAACAAAGTATTTTATTTTGTGATATTTTTTTTATTTTGTTTACAATTTTTTTTTACAAATGTTATGTTATTTATACACAAGCAGTGTATTGATTTTTACGTTGTTTTGAATATTAAAACATAAACATTTTTGTAGTTTTTCAGTTTAATATTTCATCAAATTCACAGTAATGCATTCATTATTTCATTTCTCCTGGCTGCTCCACACCCTCCATCCAGGTATATGTTTGGATAAAAATTAGCATTCACATCATGATCTTCCTCTATAAAATCTTCCACATCATCATGGCTAAGAACACACAAGTAATGGAGTATGCATCCGGAAATAATAATTGCAATTATCTGAGGTGGTTTCCGGACAGTAATTTCCCTTAACCTGCGAAACCTCCCCTTAAGATGACCGTAGCATCGTTCAACTATTTGCCGGGCACTCGACAGTCTCCTGTTAAACCTTTGCTGTCTTGGAGTAAGGTGTCCTGTGTTCCTAAATGGAGTGATTAGCCAATTTCTTAAAGGCCGAGGTTTTTAACCGTACGGTTTTCCTCAGGTAACTTTGGTTTGGGGTGGAGCTTAATCGAAGCGGCTGAGAAGCCCCGCGGGAACGACGCTGGCTTGTGTATACTACCTATATACACAGGATGTTACCTGAGCCCCAGAATGTATTAACTGTGTGCGTTTTCCTACAACTTTGTAGACCGAGGCGGTTTTTCCCCCATGTTTAGCTCATGAATTGAAATGCAAAATATAGCATTTAAAAAGTTGCATACAGAATCCTTCTTAATTTCTTTCATTTAAAATAATTAATATTTTTAGTTATTCGACATTTTTTATATACAGTGTGATTTAATGAAGTGTTATAACGAAAATACATTTAGCACCAAAATCTTTAATTTGTTGTAATCTGGCGACAAAAAGGGAAGTAAACTAATTCACGTCGTCTATGCAAAACGAAAGAAGTGAATCATAAAACAGTCTCTCGGTAACTAACAATGAAACTTAATTAGAAACGATGTTTTGAAAATAAAGAGATGAACAAGAAATATTATCGTCCAAATAAAAATCTTTTTAAGATAAACCCTACTTCATTTTTCCACAACGCATGGTTGATAAAAATGGCCAGGGCTTGGGACTGGGGTTGATTCCCCGACAGCTATGAAACGGGAAAGGAATCATCTGCATCGTTTTTTCTTTTTTTCGGATAAATTATTTCAAATATTGAATACAAACCAAGATATTATATTCCGAGCAATTTCTATTCTAAAACGTATTATTATACCGTAACTTCGAAGAAAAGCGACACGTACAGCTTTGTCTTATAAATAGAAATTCGTTTGACTCATGAACAATGTTACAATGTTGTCATACTTGCTTTGAAAAATTAATTTTATTTTATTCAATGATACTATGATACTAGCTTCAAACGCAGGTCGGTTTATTTTGTTAATTAATGGAGGAATACATGTTTTGATACGGAAATAAAAATTTTAGAATGAAATACCCCCTTTTAAAATAAAATGTATAATATACACTGTATATCATAAAGCCATGTTTTTCTTGTCATTTATTTAATAGATTGATTATATTTATGGCATATTCTTACGAATTTAAAAAAGAAAAGAGCCATTCGATTGCTTCTTTATCACGTTGGCATATGTAGTGCGGTAGGCATCAAAAGCCTGAAAGTTAATTCGATGGTCGGTGCGATCTCCAGACAAGGTACACAAGATATACACAACAGCAGCAAACTAAATGTCAATCAAATAAAAGTATCCAATCCCAGTCTTAATTCAGATGATTGACAGAGGTTCTAAGTCCAGGTAAATTTGAAGGAGGTGCTTATTTCCTCCCCCTTTAAGCGGTACGCGCTGTCTGCGATGATAAAGTTGCCTTGACCAATAGCATTTCCCTGCTCCCCATCCTCGAATAATGATGAGTTGCGCAAAACCCTGGCGTCATGAGTGCAGCCTGGCCAGCCAGTGTATGCATGACGAATGACCATGTCACTGTCATATACTACCTGAAAATGAGTGGAATCATTTTGATATTTACATGTAATGAAATTATTCACCAGAATAAATCCCAAAACAAGCATTGAATTAAATATTCAGGAAATATCACATACCTGCAACTGAATGGATGGAAACTGTTTTCTATTAAAGTAATCTCGGTCCCCTTTTGGAGCTGAGTAAAGTCTGATATGGGTTCCATCCAGGGCTCCAATTATGCCAGGAATTCCACTTTGTTATTGAAAATCACGGGCTATGGCTTGCTGCGTTTGAATATTAGGCCAGTCAATTATCTAAAAAAAATAAAATAAACTTTTAGAGGGGGAAAGCAGCATAATATAACAGTATATTCAATCTGTTTTGGGTCAACTTCAAAACAAACCGTGTGAAAACTAATGTAAAGAAACATTTCTGTAAACGGCTAATGGTAAGAATAAAACATAACAGTAGTTATGGGTTACTGGACAGTCACAGTCAATGACATCATAGGTCAATAAAAAGGTCACAGTCACTGACGTCATAGGTCAACAAGGTCACGGTCGTTTGCAGTCACGTGTTGAACCCAGGTCACCTGATTAGAGCAGGATTAACAGTCACGTGTTGAAACACCAGCTGATAAGATCAGAATTAACAGTCATGTGTTGAAATACGACTTCATTTAAAAAAACAAAAGGTCACAGTTGTTATGGGTCAGAATAACCCTAAATGCCAGCAAAGATCAATCACACAGTTTAAACTTAACAATAATTTATAATTTATTTATTCTATGGAATAGAATGTAATCTGTGTGGACTTATTTATGTCGGTGAAACCAAGGGATCGCTTAACAAAAGAATATCAGGTCATCGATTTCAAATAAATCATGGTGGTCAGCAGCTTTTATATTAACATTTTAATTCACCTGATCATTCTATTTTATCAATGAAAGTTAGAATTCTGGAAAAGATTTATCACCACACAAATAGTCCATCTTTGAGTACACCTTTCCGTAGACAACGTGAAGAAGTTTGGATTAGGAAACTAGGGACAGCCTTTCCCTATGGATGTAATGACAATGTCGATAGTGTAGGGAATCTAACAAGCCCACAGTGTAATAATGTAAATGTGATGGGACTTTTTAACAATACTCAGAGACGTAAGCGTAGTCATGGACATCGTTCGTACAATAAACCTGCAATACACGACGTCTCTTTTGATTCATTACTACCTTATGTAAATCAACAGTTAGGTCTACATCATATTCGAACCAAACTTTACTCTGTCCCTTTGAAACTTTTAAATAGTACTCTTGAAAAGACCAAGGAACATCCAAATTTAGATTCCTCGACACCTGAATATAGGCTCGGTTCTGTGATTATGGATATTGCACATCATAGGCTTTTTAAACCCGCGCGTTTCACGGAAGAAAATGCAGCTAAAACAATCCGTCTTTTCCTTAAACTTAAATATGCCAATAAAGGAATTGACGCGGTAAATATTAGTAATATTCTTAATCACAAAAGGGTCCAGTCTTATATTCCACCATATTTCAAGTTAAAGACTACGCCTTGTATTTCCTACAAATATACATCGACCATTGCTTCCAAACTTTTCAATTACAAAAATACTTTACATGGCCTGGATATCGACTATCTGAAAAATAATCCCCTTTCGTGTTCATGTTCTTCTTCGCCCTATAACTATAGTCCTGCTGGACACGTTATTACAGGTAACGTTAATATAGTTCGTAATGAGGACCTTAGATCACTTATTTTAAAAGGTCCTAAATATAGGGAACCCCGATCCTTCAACTGGCGTCAGAATTTCATAAATATTATGGATTCTGTTGAAAATTACGCCAGACGATGGGCTAGATATGAAAAAGAAGACATTGACACCTTGTCAGAATGGATTAAATGTATCAGATCCATGTTAAAGTCACGTATTAAAAGATTGAGGGGCAAAATGAAAACCATCTATCCTTCTGTGTTCAATAAACCAGAAGTGAAAAAAGAATTAGATAGATTACACGATCAGTACGTACTGGTGTTCCTGCCGACAAAGCAGGTAACAACATTGTCTTCGTTTGTAAGGCTCATTATATTAATTGCATTTTAGAAGAACTTGGATTTAATTCTACGAGTGGTAATCCTACTTATACATATACTACTCTTTCTAAGGAAGAAATTCTTCAAAATCACCTGTCAGTTTTGAATACTTTTAATATTCCACAGAGCCAAAATGAATTTGAACTACCTTATATATATTGGATTCCGAAACTTCATAAGAATCCTTACAAACAAAGATACATTGCAGGTTCCAGTAAATGTTCAACCAAGCCTCTTTCGTTACTTCTCACTAAAATATTGACAGTAGTGAAGGAAAAACTTCAAGAGTACTGTACAACTATATATTCAAGAAGTGGTGTAAATCAGATGTGGATACTTAAAAATTCTAAAGAACTTTTGGACAATTTGAAATCACAAGACTTTACAAAAATCAACAGCATAAAAACTTACGACTTTTCAACTTTATACACAACAATTCCGCACGACAAATTAAAATCCAGGCTTTTTGATATCATTGACAGCTGCTTCTTCAACAAAAATGGAACTCGTAAGTTTACTTACCTCGTCATTGGTCATTTGAAAAATTATTTTGTTAAAACAGATTCTGATTGTACACATAAGTACTCTGAAGTTGACATCAAAAAGATGCTTGAGTTTCTGATTGACAATATCTATGTGGTTTTTGGAGACCAAGTATTCCAACAATCTATTGGAATTCCCATGGGTACAAATTGC